TCTACACATACAGCTAAAACTCACACATCTGAATGATGACTTTTGAAGTCCAATGTTGAAGCTGTCAATAGTACTTGTTTCCTCTCTCACAGTGTTAAAGAATACGTTTTTAAAAATCATGTATCCATATTATCATCTGGATCATCACAAAAATTTTATCAATTGTTCCTTGGCATGTGTCACACCTCTGGTAAAAATATTATTAAAATACGATCATAAATTTTCTAGTTATCCTATAAACAGCCAGACAAACACACACACCCATCCACAGAAATGTCTTACTATCTTTGTGGGGCCTTTCCATTGCCTTACCGTGACCCTGACCCTAACCATTACGGTTTCATACCAAACCCTAACCCCAACCTAAACTCAATTCACATCTTAGTCCTAAACGTGACCCCTGACCCAAAAACAGCAATTCCCTTTGTGGTGTCCAGGCCTCAGTCCACACAAGGAACAGTCGGTACACACAAAGTGCCATTTTCCCTGAAAATGTGCCCTACAATGTATTGAATCTAAAAACAAGAGCATCCACACACAAACACTCCTAAAAACATTACATCATCGGTGGAGGTAACAATCTACAATCTCTGATATAAGGAAGCTGACAGGTGAACTCTGCAATAAAATACCCTATGATTCCTTTTAAATCACAAAATTGCACCTTTTAAAGTTTAATTATTTGAAGTTTAGATTATTTTATACTTCATTAACTCTTAAAATTGGTCATTTATTAATTTAATTTTTACCATATCCCCCTCCGCAGTTACACTGAAGCCACCCATAGGTTTTTTTTTTTAGATTTATTTAATATTTGACAGGGACAGTGTACTTTAATAAGCATTCCTGTAAATGCACCAGAATTAGTCAAAAGGCAATTTTTCCATCTGTTGGACAGATCTTAAAATTGGGATATTATACTTTATCATTGCATGCACCATGGTGTCTGCTTTCCATTTAAAATTCCACTTTCTATAATAGATAAACATTCATTTTAAGTAAATTAGCCCCTTCAAAATAAAATAAGAAGCATGATAAACAGACGGACAGTATTTCTTTTAAATCAGCCCTTGATTTCTTATTTTGACATGGATATCCTCATAATAAACAGACTTGAATTTCTGTTTTCAAATTTATGAACAAAGATCCTAATATTTCTAGCTATAACACAAATGCATACACTTGTACACATGATTAAAAAAAATTCAAATAGTGAAACTTAAGCAAGACTGGAAATATATAAGTAAAACTCGTGGATCATAACTAAAAACTGTTGGGAAACGTAGATCAATATAATCTCAGGCTTGTTCCACTGTGTAGATTAGGTAGTTACAGTGAAAAAAGCAGGTTAAAGTTAAAAAGGTATCAAAGCCCGTTCTCATTTGCATGTGGAGCATAAACAAAAGCCATTAAGGTGCTTTAGCATAAAGGCTAACAGATTAGCACTGGGGTTGCAATACAGCATGGACACATCAATGAGTCAGTGAGCAAATAAAACTGGATGCCTTTATTTACTGCACTACACCTCTGCACAATACACGAACAAATGTCAGCCGCGTTTCAATGATCGCTGATAACCTCAAATAAACCCCAGCTTCGTCCTTGTGTAGTAATCAGTGGAACGAACCATCTTCAATGGATAATTTAGGAGTGAAAATGATGGTTTAGCCGAAAAGCTAATGTGAACTTCCATGGTTAGCTATCTAGCTAACTTACCTAGAAACCATGAATATTCCAGTCGAAGGAGACGGTTTATATCGGCGGCAAACAGCTCGTTAGACAGGGAGGGTTTTTCCTCAAACAGCCGCCATCTGTAGATCCGCCATTTCTTCTGGGGCTGTGGTGACAAAGAAAGGCAATTAATGGTATTTTTCATAACTTAATTGATTTTTTGACTCGTCTGTAATACAACGGAATTAGTAAGTACAGCGACACATCCGGCTTTTACCTTTCAGAGTAAAAGTGGCAAGTTCATATATATATATATATATATATATATACGGTATATATATATATATATATATATATATATATAGCTTTCATTACATTTACAGTGCATAAAGTGCAGCAAAAAAACGCATAGATATTTTAGAGCATTAATATATATCGTGCAAATATGCAGAGTACAAGTTATCTTTGTGATGCAAAGTCAGTGACATGATTAGTTTCACAACAGTTCAGCTGGCTACTGGCTGTATGTATATATATATATATATATATATATATATATATATATATATATATATATATAT